GTAGATTTAATTATTGGTATTTGTTTTAGTAAAATAATTATTAGCATTTGTGCATGTATATTACATGTATAATGAATTGATATTACATGTATGTGCACTGTACATGTACTTTTTGTACTACTCTTTCCTACTACAATGTACATGTATTTCTTCTCATTCTAGTACCATAGATATACATGTACATGTACCATTTCTCTCTCTTCCTCCCTCCCCCCTCTCCCTCTCACTCTCCCTCTCTCTCCCTCTCTCTCTCTTCTCAGGTCATTATGTACATTGACATGTAAATGGACCTACATAGCTCACGACGTGGAAGACACCACTGTACCTAGTAATGATGAAGCCACTAATGGTGATACTACTAATGTCAGGCTCGCTAAAGGATGGAATGACTCCTTTTGGTGTTCAATAGGTCTGGAGTGCTTAGTGAATGAAGAATACAAGAGGATTGGTAAGAGATGTACATGTACATGTACATTTACATGTACGTACATGCATGTACTACATGTATAATAGTAACTGTGTATTAAATATGTCTGTATCTATAACAAACTAAACTATTAATAAAAATGCATATATACAGTATGCATATACATGTTACATGCATGTGTGTCTGAGTTAAAAATAGATAGATACATAATAGAACATAATCTACATGTGTTACATGTACAATCTACATGTACATGTACGTGTACTTTGTTAATGTGCAGGCATACATGTACATGTATGTATGTACATGTATGTACATGTACAATCTACATGTACATGCAGAGCCTGAAATTACATTTAAACAGTGTTCTGACACTATGTCCGAACGCAGCCTATTTTGGTCTGACATTTGAATGAAATGGTCGGACACGTTCATTTATCCTTTTTATATCTCAATGTGTGTGCTTGTTAGTGAGTGTTTAATTCAAAATTTTTTTGTAATTTAAAGAAACTTACAAAAGCATGACCATTAATTTAGTAATAATTACTAATAAAAATTTTGTGTTGTTTACTAATGTTCAGACAAAATGGTAGAACAACACGGCAGTTGGTCGGACAATTAAGCAAAATGGTCCGAAAATGTCTGATGTCCGGCTCTGTACATGTACATGTACTTTGTTAATGTGCAGGCATACATGTATGTACATGTACATGTACAATTGTAGATTATCTAATTATTTTAGTGTATTTTGTAATCCAATTATGTTTCAATGTAGAATTGTACTCCACTGTTTTTGTTCCAACCTTTAAATTTGATTAAAGTTCAGTTGCTTATTTCCTTTATTGCTCACACATGATAAACCTTTTTTAGTGAGATCAAAGACCTCCATCACCTTCAGTTACATGTACATGTACATATATGTATTTGCAATACTCTAGAGCACAGTACAATTTATTGACGAGGAATTAAGGCTGATTCTCAATATGATGCATGCACGTCCGTCACAACCGAAAGTGCTGTATAAACCAATGGGAGCATGCGTCAATACGTCAGATTAGAAAACATTTCATTCTGACGCATTGACGCATACTGCCATTGGTTTATACAGCACTTCCAGTTGCTAGTGCATGAAAAACAATGGATCATTGAGAACTCGCCTTTACATGTAATACTGTAATACATGTACATGTACTACTGGTGATTGGTGGCTTTGTGAAGAATATTTTAGTATAAAATTTGTCATTTTGTTGAGCATACTCAGCGACCAAAGATCACAATCACCTAACCCTGGAACATTATACATGTAATCCTAGAACATGTAAAGAATTACATGTACATGTAATACTGGTGATTGGTGGCTCTCTGAAGAATTTGTCATAATAAAATCTGGTATTTTGTTTCAACCTGAGCATACTCGGTGACATATCTGGCATGCAATATTCCAATTATTTCCCACAGGTAAAATTAGCCAAGTATTACTCTCTCATGATTGATAAATCATCTTGTATGTACATTGTACTTCTATTAAGAGTTTCCATATTTAAAAAGGTGTTCTGGCAATGACACAAGCCATCTTCTTTTTCTTATTATATTATTATTATTATTATTATTATTATTATTATTATTATTATTATGAAAGACAAAAAGCACAATACAACACACAGACATGCACAATAAATGCACCAAGGACAAACAAGAAATAAGAGAAACAATTATTATTATTACTGTTATATTATTATTATTTATTTATTCTTATTATTATTTATTATTCTCACTAATAGTATTATTTACTATTGTGTTATTATTATTAATTTATTATTATTATTATTTATTATTCTCACTAATAGTATTATTTACTATTGTGTTATTATTGTGATTGTACTGTAGGTACTAAAGTTCAGGTACCAGGAAGGTCAGTTGGTTTAGGGTTAAGTGAGAGAGCAGCTGTTGAGTTAGGACTAACACCAGGCACACCAGTAGCTACTGGAATCATTGATGCCCATGCAGGAGGATTAGGTATAGTAATGACAATAATAATAATAATAATAATAATAATGGTGATGATGATGATGATAATTATTAATAATTTTTGGGTTACATGTACCTTGGCCATTCTATTTAATAAAATAGTGGCAATGGGGTGTTTTTACTTAAAATGCCTACACGTATAGAAAGTTTGTGCTGATTCTGATTGAATTTTTTGAGTTATAGGCATTTTTTAAATTGCCCAATTTCTGAAAAATACACTGTCCATAGTTTTTCCAAAAAAATGGCTCCAAAATTACTCCCAATTTTTATTAGATTTTCTGATGCATATTGTTGTCCTTATGCTCTGTAGAAAGTTTGAGCTTATTTTGACAAATATTTTTTGAGTTATGAGCATTTAAAAAAACAAGCCAATTTTTGAAAAATACCCAAGGCTATAGCCCATGGTTTTTTCCAAAAAATGGCTCCAAAATGACTCCAAAATTTTATTGCATTTTCTGATACATATTGGTATCCTTATGCTATGTTGAAAGTTTGAGCTGATTCCGACTTCAATTTCTGAAGTTATAGTCATTTTAAAAAATAGGCCAATTTCTGAAAAATACCCTGTACTATATATAGCCCATGGTTTTTTTCCAAAAAATGGCTCAAAAATCACCCCCAATTTTTATTAGATTTTTTGATACATATTGATGTCCTTATGCTATGTACCAAGTTTGAGCTGATTCCAACTTAAATTTTTTGAGCCATGGCCATTTAAAGAAATAGGCCGATTTTTGAAAAAATACCCAAGGCTATAGCCCATGGTTTTTTTTTGAAAAAATGGCTCCAAAATGACCCCAAAATTTTATTGCATTTTCTGATACATATTGATGTCCTTATGCTATGTTGAAAGTTTGAGCTGATTCCGACTTCAATTTCTCAAGTTATAGTCATTTTAAAAAATAGGCCAATTTCTGAAAAATACCCTGTACTATAGTATAGCCCATGGTGTTATCCAAAAAATGGCTCCAAAATCACCCCCCATTCTTATTACATTTTCTGATACGTATTGATGTCATTATGCTATGCAGAAAGTTTGAGCTAAATTTGAGCACAACTTTTGTAGCTATGACCATTTTTAAAACCTTAAAATTGCTTTAACTCTGACCTCATAATCCCTTATACACACCACCTAATTATTATAATATTTTGTCCCTACATGTAATGTATACATGTTCATGTAAAGTGAGTCTTAATTATTTATTTACTTGTATCGCATCCTAATTTGTGTACACGTACATTTATGTACATGTTTGTGTACGTATGACATCAGCAGTGAATAATTATCCACTGTTGATATCATGTTCATGTGTATTTCTTTCTAGGTATGCTTGGTGCCGATACGTCTCAGGTTGGGTCGCTAGGGGATGTTCCTCTTACCTCTCGTCTTGCTCTTATAGGAGGGACCTCATCCTGTCACATGATGGTGAGTGATACCAACTAGTTTTATCATACCGACACGACTTGATCTTATACATGCATCTTAATGTACTTGTACATGTACATACATGTACATATGTAC